CCGAAGAAGTGGGCTGTAGTCCACGAAAGCTTATGCTCTAATAAATTTGTTAGTCTCTAAGGTGCCACAAGTCCTCCTGTTCTTCTTTTTAAAATGTAAACCATGTTGATTTAATATTTTTAAGAGCAGGTATTTTACAAGTGCCTATTCTCATTTAGGGGAACTGCTGAGATTTACCTGACAGTCCTTTTCATCAGAGCCAACTTCTCTAGTAATGCTTAGGTCATTTTTTAAATTATTCAAATAAAACCTGGTGGTCTCTGAACTGTTTCCCTGTAACCTTTAGTATATTCCCACCTTATATCTGCTACTCTGATGAACCTGCCTTGTGATCACTGCCCTTTCACATAAAAAAGGACAGAACAAGTTTGATATCTAGCCAAAAACAAAGGGGTCACTGCTACTAGGTAATAAAGGACCCTCATATCAGTTTAGTCCTGTGTGCCCTACACTTGCAGCTCTATCTGAGGTTTAGGAGCCCAGAACGGAATCAGTTTCTCACATGTCACAAAGCTGATGCACTGCTGTCCCCACCAGGACTACCAAGAATAATGGGTTTGCCTTTGTCACTACCATCATTCATTATACCATACTCTAGATCAGGGGTGGGCAAACTACGGCCCGCAGGCCACATCCGGCCTGTCAGACCATTTAATCTGGCCCTCAGCTCCCACCAGGCAGCGGGGCCAGGGGTTTGCCCCGCTCCGTGTGGCTTCCAGGAAGCAGCCGGCATGACCCCACTCCTGCTCCTACGTAGTATACGGAGCCGTGGCCAGGCGGCTCTGCGCGTTGCCCTGTCTGCAGGCACCGCCCCCGCAGCTCCCGTTGGCCGTGGTTCCTGGCCAATGGGAGATGCAGGAGTGGGAGCTGCAGGAGTGGCGCCTGAGGATAGGGCAGCGCATAGAGCCACCTGGCCGCACCTCGGAGCCAGAGAGGAAACATGCTTCCGGGAGCTGCTTGCGGTAAGCACCGCCCAGAGCCTGGACCCCTAAGCCCCCCCCATGCCCCAACCCCCTGCCATAGCCCTGATCCCCCTCCCACCCTCCGAACCCCTCGATCCCAGCCCAGAGCCTCCTCTTGTACCCCAAGCCCCTCATCCCCAGCCAGAGCCCTTACCTGCCCCCCCCCGCCCCGTGCCCCAACAGCCTGCCCCATCCCTGATGTTTGAACACATTGGTCACAGCCTGGAGCACCCTCCTGTACCCCAAACCCCTAATCCCCGGCCCCACCCCAGAGCCCGCACCCCCAGCTGGAGCCCTCACACCCTTCCCACATACCCCAAGCCCCGCCCCAGTCCTGATCCCCCTCCTGCCCTCCGAACCCCTCGGTCCCAGCCTGGAACCCCCTCCCACATCACTACCCCCCAATTTCGTGTGCATTCATGGCCCGCCATACAATTTCCATACCCTGATGTGGCCCTCAGGCCAAAATGTTTGCCCACCTCTGCTCTAGATCAACGTTTCTAAAATGCGGCTACCGTGGCCACATGCAGGCACCAGGGGCTTTCCGTGCAGTCACGACAGCTTCCTGGGCAGTGATGGGGGAGGGAGGAAGGGGAAGCATCGGCCCCTTCCTCTTCCTCCTTGTTGCGCCTGGATGCGCCACCCTGAACCGCCTCTGGAGAGAGGTGGGTCACAACTCTGCAGGAGCAAGTTGAGTTCTTGACCCACGCTGTGGGGACGGGGTTTGGGTGGCAGGCTCAGCAGCGGGACTTCAGGAACCTGGCCGTGCAGCCCCAGGCTCTGACTGTGGGACAGCGGGTACTGACCCTCCCCCCAGGCTCTAGCTGGCTCCCGGCTCCAATCCCGGGCTCTGCGGCAGTGGCAGGCACTGGCCGCAGGAGCCAACCTCCAGCCTCAGCCGCCTGGCAGCAGGCTCCAACCATGGGGCTTTGGGTGCCAACCCCTGGCCCTGGCCGTGGGGCAGCAGGGGCTGGCCCCTGACTCTGGCTGCGGAGCTTCAGTCAGCCTCCAGCCCCAGTTCCGGCCATGCGGTGGCTCTAGCCCCTGGTGCTGATCCCCTGCCTCACCTGCACGGCAGCAAGTGCCGACCACAGCTCCGACTGTGTGGCCCCAGTCCTTGATCCCCTACCCCAGATGAGCAGCAGCAGGCGCCGACCCACAGCTCTGTTCCTGGTCTCCGGCCACGCGGTGAAGGGAGCTGGCCCTGGGTGCCAACCCCTGACCCTGGCCATGCAGCAGCAAGCACTGGCTCCAGCCACACAGCGGCGGGCACTGACTCCTGGCTCCAGCCATGCACCCCTGGGCTCCAGCACCCAGCTCGGGGCTCTGGCTGTGCAGTGGCAGGCACTGGCCCCAGACACTGACCCATAGCTCTGGCTGCGCGGCAGCGGGCTCCGATCCCTGGCTCCGGCTATGCAGTTCCTGTCCCCAGCTCTAGTTTCTGGCTGAGCGCACTGAGCCCCGGCCCTGGCCACATGGCAGCAGATACCAGATCCTGGCTCTGATCACGCGACAGTGGGGCTCATCACCCACCCCCATTGCCCCGCCCCTGCTG